GACCTGCCTTCTTACGTAAATATGTAGATTAAAGATGAAGCCGTATGTATTAAATTATCCACTGGATTATTTATATCTCTGGTAAAGAATGAGATCCTAATAAGCTCAACCAAATATAAAATCTGGTTAAAACCAATTAATTTGATTCCATTGCCTTCAATTGTTTACTGCATTCTTTGAATACTGTACTTTCATATAGGTGCATGTATTTTGTAACGAGTTAAAAATCTGGTCTGAAAGCTGAATGTATTATAATCTGTTTTATCTAAAAAATAATAAAATATTTAAAAATACAAGTAATAGTTGATCGCTTCATTGGCATTCAGATATGGGAACCACATCAAAAATACATATGTATCGATGAAGTTGTAGTAAAGTTGATAGTCTGAAGTTTATATTAAAATTTCGACCTAACAGAATATGCTGGGATTATAAAATGATTAATACATAATTTGTAGCTTTTTGAACAATATAAAAAATATGGTGCATTATATAATTCATAAATTAGCAATTTACCAAACCCCATTTAAAACATTCGCATTAATTTTCCCATGATACTATTATTTACTTGAAATCTGGAAATCCAAATCCAAGGTCATGATAACAATTAAATACAATCACATCTAGAATTTTCCTCTGAAAAATTTGCAATACTAGAAATCTGGCGATCCAATGTGGTGATAACAATCACAATCACATCTAAAACGATTCAGTCAACCCAAATCGTGACGCACAAGCTGGAATTTGCCCTTGTATAAAATACGAGTCACTCAACACACCACTAAGCATTCCTACATACATATCCGTGATCCAAAACTAGAAAAATAACTACCACAAAAATTTAAGTCTTCCATAATGGACAAAATTGTCCTCACTTTAGTCCTGTTTTTTGTCGGGTGCACAGGATTCAGGCAGGAATTATTTTTCTACAGCGGACCCAACTGTACTGGCAATGCGGTCGTTTTCTTATATAACAGACCAAACTTAAGGGATATTGAGCAATACTATCTTCCTACGGTGAAATCCTACAAAGGTCGTGGATGGTAGGTGCAATCACAACTTTATTTATATTTTTATTGCTTCTATCTAAAATAGGTTTAACAAATTTAATATCGTGTTGAAAAACCGAAAGCAATATCGTTCAAACTATTCTTCATGATGCGGTTTTGTTTTTGAAGTCCCTCACACGTGCCTTTCACACTCTTGGAAATCTGACATTAAGTTATTGCCGCTTTGTGAGTAATATAAATAATTCTGCAAAGGATGGTGAAAAATCGTACCGTATTAGGTCCTTACCTCGTCATAAATTAAATAATTGCTGCCTAATGGTAATAATTATCTGCTTACCAATCTCAATATTATATTATTACCAAAATCAGTAAAGTATACATACCTATGTGTGTTTAGTTATTACAAACATATCGTCGTACTAATTCTAAAAAGGCCTAAGTGCAGTCAATAATAAATTTTAGAAAGGCCTATCTGCAGCCAATGCTAAATTTTAGAAAGGCCTATGTGCAGTCAATGTTTAATTTTAAAAAGGCCTAAGTGCACAATAAAAACTAGAAAAAGGCCTAACTGCAATTCCAAAATTATAAATGGTTAATTAATTATGTAAAATCATACTGTAACCTGAAATGTGAGTATAATATTCGGACGAGGCCAGTCCTGATATAATACTTGAATTTCAAAACCACACCCTCGAGGGGTGTGGTTCTGCTGACCTAAATTTGCTTAATAAAATCCTAGCGTGCAATATGTCGTATTACTCAAATTAATGAGGCAATTCCAAAAAGAATATTACAAATTTGAAAAACACACCCCCAGGGGGTGTGGTCATCGGCATCAAATTTAATTTTAAAAAATCCTGGCATGTGATACTTCATTTTTATCAGCCCAATAAAGCAATCCGAAAGGAATATTGCACATTTGAAAAACACACCCCCAGGGGGTGTGGTCATCGGCATCAAATTTAATTTTAAAAAAGCCTGGCATGTGATACTTCATTTTTATCCGCCAAACAAATCAATCTGAAAAACTTGGTGGTGCGTGGTTCCTGACGCCTAAATAAAGTTAATAACATCCTGTAATATGCCATGCCACTTATCTTTGCCCGATTACGAAATTGTGGCAGAGTCTACAGCAATTGAAGAACCTCCCCTCTGTAGGAGAGTGTTCTTTACACCTACCTACATAAATTTAGCTGAATACAGCCATCGAAGGCATGAAGTGTGTGTTTAAATGTGTAATTAAAACAAGTTCAAAAACAAAACTGCATTTAGAATTATAAACAAGAACTATTTACTGTTCCACATCATGACAGTGTTGCGAAGAATGAACAGGGGAAGCAGTTTCGTAGTTTTCAGGAGGAAATGCTTATGAAATTTTATTTCAGTCGTGTGTTGCAAATGGCAACCTAAAATGGCAAATGATCGAAATATTATAGGTGCCAACGAAATATTCATAAAAGCGTGCGTACTTTGACAGAATACGGTTATGATAATTACAGATAAAATGATTATTTTACTTATGTAAATTATTAATTTGGCAAACTATGTAGGTATAAGCCGCTTTGCCATGCAATTATAATTCTAATACTGATAGGGTGCAAATAAGTTGGCCTAATTATAAATCAATTGTATCTTGAGATAAGCCCAAGTTAAACTACAAAATTACAAAATATCATTAATCAGTGCAATTATATCTGGACAAGTTGAGTCACGCATGGAATTGAAATTTTCGTCGCGTAATTGAGAATGCTTTGGGGCACGAAAGGACATTTTTTAGCGGGTTTGTTGGGAGAGTCAACTGGAATACTTTGGAGTGTTCTAGAAATTCGCATGTGTTGTTGTTGCATTTTTTTGTGAAATTTTGTAAAAATCAAAGTTATCATCAATGTCAGACTCCGAAATAGAGACGGATTCATCTGACTGGTCGTACCAAGGGACGACTGAAGAAGAAGAAAGTGAAGGGGACGACGTATTTTCAGTAGACGAAGTTGTGGCAGCCACGGGTGTTGATTTCGGTAAATTTTTAATACGTGCAAAAAAATTACCATTACTAACCTGGCTAAACCTACCAAGAAATCCAAGAACTCTGGAAGACATTGTTTTCCCGGCCCTGTACGAATGCAGATTAAAAATTCCAAAACGAAAATACGACGACCTTCAGGATCTTCTTCAAGTAATTCCTCAGCAATTTCATGATTTTTATATCAATTTGCCAAAATAAAACATGTGAAATGCGTAAAAAATATGCGAAAAATGTGTAATGTAGGTTTACTTACTAGTATTTTCATTGTCATCTAATAAAACCAGCAATTTTTGATACTTAATTCATGTACCAACTATGACTTGCAATGCTTGAGTTTTTTTTTCAATTTACGAGTATGATAATCACCCCAAGATATTCGTATTCACACATTATAATCCTTCGGCCTGAGTGAATAATTGATCCGTTATTACGGGGTTAAGAGAGGCAGAATCTCTTTATTGAAATACATTGTCCTTCGGAACCTCTAAATCCACCAAAAATGCGGAACAGATTCGAGTTGCGACAATGTGGGGTGTCAAAGCGAGCCATACTGCTACGTGAGTAGCGCGATATGCGATATGTTCGAAACTGACGGAGAAGTGTGGGAACGAAGTGGGTGCGCCATAAGGTCAATTCCCTGTGGTTTCACCCCTTTGATACATTTCGTTTGCTGCAGTTTAGTATATGGAATTACAGGTTTGTATATGGGTTCCTAATGCTAATACAACGGGACAACGCCAGAGACCTCGGTCCGATTTCGAACAAATTATGTGGAGTTATGTAGATGATTCAACCAATCGAAATTATGAGGTGGTTGGCAAATTTCGTTTTTATAAATCTTTCCCGGGAACATTTCACGGGCACATTATAACTTTATTATATCATCTTTCAAACTTAACACTGTGAAAAATCTCCACAAATGAGTTTAACAACTTATCTAACTATGTATGTATATACTTCTGCAGTAAGGCTAGTTACTTACTGAAGGAATGCTATATACATACTCAATTAATGTGGTCAAATCTAAATCGGGCATCACAGCATCCCCAGCAGTCAAAATCTTGGATTACAGATGAATGAAAAAAATGCGCAAGACAACCATAGCGTATAAATTGCAGGTGGTGAGCGGCCAAAAAAACACCACCCAACGGTGCGGTTTTTAAATATTTCATGTTTGACGGTATAGCTTCATCGTGAAGAAAAAAGTGTCCAGTACTCCAAACTTTTGTTTAGCTATAGAGTTTCAAACGTCGCTTCGAGAATGTTTCACTTGAGTGAGACAAATGATGATTACATATAACTTCAATTTGCTGCTAATGAACACACCCCCTGGGGGTGTGTTTTTCAAATGTGCAATATTCCTTTCGGATTGCTTTATTGGGCTGATAAAAATGAAGTATCACATGCCAGGATTTTTTAAAATTAAATTTGATGCCGATGACCACACCCCCTGGGGGTGTGTTTTTCAAATTTGTAATATTCTTTTTGGAATTGCCTCATTAATTTGAGTAATACGACATATTGCACGCTAGGATTTTATTAAGCAAATTTAGGTCAGCAGAACCACACCCCTCGAGGGTGTGGTTTTGAAATTCAAGTATTATATCAGGACTGGCCTCGTCCGAATATTATACTCACATTTCAGGTTACAGTATGATTTTACATAATTAATTAACCATTTATAATTTTGGAATTGCAGTTAGGCCTTTTTCTAGTTTTTATTGTGCACTTAGGCCTTTTTAAAATTAAACATTGACTGCACATAGGCCTTTCTAAAATTTAGCATTGGCTGCAGATAGGCCTTTCTAAAATTTATTATTGACTGCACTTAGGCCTTTTTAGAATTAGTACGACGATTAGTAAATTACACTAAAACTATATACATAGGTACAGGCAATTATTATAATTTGTGCAATGTGATAAGTTTCATTTATGCAACTTCACATGAAGGAAATATTACGAAAGCATTAAATTTTACCAAATTTATTTTTCAATTTGAATAAAACTATGTATGTATAATGTTGTAGCTTAAATTGGATAACTTATGTTGAAAGTAACGTATTCGCGGAAAATTATTAAACTGATACATATTTACCAGTGGTTGTTTCTAATGCAATATTTATATTATACTGATGGCATTTGGTCTTTCTAACTTTTGAGCATAAACGGGAACTGTTAAAGTGATATTAAAACATAACAAAATTATCGTCACGAATTTTGTTGATGGTTGGCACCCTAGCGTCAGACATTTTTCTGGTTAAACCAATTATGATATCTTTCAGATTTGGCATGTCAGGAAAATCGTTTACCAGACCAACACCCTTTTTTCCAATTAGGTCAGCAAATTTTGTCTTGAGCACTGTCTTGGGAATCAGGTGGAACATTTCAAAAATAATAAGTCCCACAGAAAACCAATCAGCATTCGGCCCGTACCGGAGGTTCCCTAGTTCATCGAATTCTTTAGCTTCTCTAGCTCGGTACAGTTCCGACCATACTTGAACCGTTTGTGTCATGGTGGCATCACCCGGGACTTTACGGCATTGCCCAAAGTCTCCAAGTTTTATAGGGCATTGGAACAAATCGTCAGAGTCCTTGACGTGGGAAAAATAAATATTTTCAGGTTTCAAATCTCGGTGCAGAATATTCTTGGAATGGAGAAATTTTAGGCCAGAAATCATCCCAAGTGTAATTTGTTTGCGCAGCGTAAAGTCTATATCGACATTGCTAACTTGTTCAGGTTTTTTATCGTTTTTGAGTAACCATGTCTGCAGGGTTGGACCACATAGTTCCATTTTAATTATTATGGCAGGATGTCCGTGGGCTAAGTTATCTGTCAGGGCGAAACAACAAAGTCGTTTCCCATGTTCTAAAGTAGTATTGGTAGCCTGCATGTATTCGTCGATGATGTTTGGACCTCCAGGTTCAAGAAGTTTATGGGCCAAAATAGTAACCACATTTTCGTGGGGAGTTGAATTTGTAGCGTCCATTATTTGGCATTCTCGCTCCACTGTATTCTTAAACTCAGTCACATCTCTTGTCTGTCCAACTACTATCTTAAGTGCTGCGTCCACCCGGTCGGAGTTCAACCGAGTAGACGTTTCTCTGATTTGAAAAACCACACCAAAAGAGCCAACCCCAAGAAATTTGGTGACATTGTAGTTCCAGTGGTCTAAAATTAAAAAAATAACGCTTATAGGCATCCAAATATGTAACGTGTATGGCTCATTATCAGATATTTGAGTTATTCTTTTAACATATCAGCTTAGCTTGGCTACTATATGTATATCTCAAAAGCATTCCAATTTTTTAACGTAGGTATTTATAAAAATATGCCTTAATTTTAAAGAAATTCGTTATACATGACATAAAACCAATAAGAGAAATCGTCAAACTAAATACTTATGGAATGTATAGCAGGTGTAGAGCAAAAATTATTCACCGCATTCTGCGGACGATGTAGTTGTTCTTGACGAGTTTGGCACTTCTAACTCCATCCAAGTTTCCATCGTGTCCACCAAATGTTCGTTTATCTTTAAGTGTAAGTCTGAAAATTGCAAGTCATCACCTTTATTCGCGTCGTTGACTGCAAAAGAAAGAAGATTATAGTAACTGTGCAAAAAGAATAAACCGTAGTAACGTTAGAAGTAGCTCACCCTGGAATAATTAGTTGGACATAATTTTGCATCAAAGGTGCAAAATAAGCTGATAAAATAGATGTATAATTTTTATATAATTTTGCACCAATGGTACAGAATAAACGGGAAATAAAAGAAATTTGATATAATATTGCACCAATGGTGCAGTCCAAATGGTTAAAATTGGGACTAAATTTTGACACGATTTCAAGGTTAAGTTAAGGCAGCCAAGGAGAACTAGAACTTTCAGTTAATCCTAATCATTGGTGCAGAATACATCGATTCCTTCAATTATTTCGCACCATTTTGCGTTAACGATTTTTGGATACCAATTGTGCTACAAATTAGGGTTAAAATGGTCTTGGGGCTGATTAATTAGCATCAATTGATGCAAAAAACTCGTGAACAGACAGACAGACAGACAGACAGACGGACAAGAGGAATTCAATAGCTCTCATGCTACGCAGGGTGAGCTAATAAAGCTATGTTTTGTAATGTACGTTCGTACAGTCGATTGCCACTACGGGTTTTATCAGTATTGGGATTTTGGTTGTACCAAGTAAATAAAACGTAAAGTTTACTTAATAAACAAGATAAAAATGCAAAGTGGGAAAATGGGATGTTTTCTTAGTTATTAGCCGCGCGCTATAACTTGTCCCGGTCGCATACACAAATTAACGGTTTCCACAACACAGTCAGTATACACGCTCCACATTCTACAGCACGGAAAGTACACCGTTAAAATGTGTATGTTGCGGGGACAAGTTAAAGCGCGCTGATAATATTAAATGAGGAAAACTTATTAATGAAAAATATTGACTTCGCACAACGTACTGATTGATACACATTATGAAGTCTCCTACAGGTGGCTGGATGTTAAGGGAATCAACGTTTTTTTACTTGTGTATGTACATGTTTATAATAAAATTTTTGTATACCTGGTAGGTATGGTTGGAATATTTGGAAAGCTCTTTTGTTGCAGCTAACGTCATCTCCGAGAGCGTGCATAATTACTGGTAGGTCTTCGTCAGTCCTTAAATTACGAAGAATTGTAAGCAACCTGTGTGCCTTATTTACTTTCCCGTTAATCTTGCGCTTAAACAAAAACACTTGAATTAAAAACTTATAAAGAAATTAATAAACATCACTAATTTTTATTATGTACATAATTCATATTAATTTACCAACAAATCCACGGTTTCATCAGTGATTATGCTCTTCACTTCGAGATAGCTTAACAGAGAATCGTTCACATCCAATAAAGTTGTTAGTTCGTCGAAATTTTCGTCAATAATTATGACAAGGATGTTGTTCGATGTTTTGGATGTCATAGTTAAGCTGGAAACATTTCAGAATCAAAGGATATCGATAAGAAAATTATGTACGCTACTAACTTTTCTTTTTTTACGACCATTGCGATTGTTGGGATAAAACAGTATTATATCAGAAGCTTGATGTGCATATAATCATATGTATAAGCTTCTAGAATTGCATGTTTCGACCCAGGTTTGATTTTTTCTTACCTTAATCCAAAAATTATTGAAAATCAATTCAACACAAAATTTAGGTGGGTTTAGGTATAAAAATGAGCAGCGTCAACCTCAGTTTATAAATACAGATATGTGAATGAACGAGGTAGGTAAAATTATTCCCCAATCCAATGGAAGATAAGTTATCTCATGTTTTCCATAAAATTTACACTTTGAGGAGGCTGATCAATGTAATCAAAATTGATATGTACAGCAATGCAAGCTTTGACAAATTCTACATACATGGTGGCCATAAAGTTTCTGATGACTCAAAAAAATTTCAAACCAGTTTCTGAAACTTTTTTGCTGTTGTGTTCTCGGTACTAATTTTTTCTGAAAATGTCCCCCAGACGTGTGTCTTCATTTGTGGAAAAAATTATTAAAATAACCCAACGTTTGGATGAATGGCAGGGTGCACCAGGAAACCCTCCGAAATTTGGGTTGCCTGAAATACCGTTAAGTTGTGGAGGAACCGGAAGTAATCAAGGGGTTTTCTTAGCTTGCGTAATGCAATTCAAATTATTTTATCCAAATCCCCTCGTTAAATTACGAGATATGATGTATTACATGACATGACATAATTTAGTTAAAATCGAAAAGTAGCTGAACGCTAATTTTAGGTATTCCGTCGAAACCCCCTTGATGAGCTGATAAAAACTATATAGCACATGGCATGGTTTTATTAAAATCGAAAACTTTCTGGGAACCACACCCCGAGCATTTCCTGATAACCACACCCACTGAGGGAGCGTTTTCCCAATGTTAGGTATTTCGCCGAAACCCCCTTGTCGAGCTGAGAAAAATGATGTTACATGATGTTACATGACATGTTTTTGCTAAAATCGACAATTTGCTTAAAGCCACACCCACTGGGGTGTGGTGTTAAAATTGTATTGCTTCTGTCGAGGTCCCCTCGTCGACCTGAGAAAAATGATATATCACATGACATGGTATCGTTAAAACCAGAAAGTCGCCGAGAGCCACACCCACTGGGGGTGTGTCATGTGACTACTAAAAATTTCCACATACAATATATGCCTTAGATTATTGTTGTACACCAAAATCTAATTATGTTTTCTTCAAATTCGGCTCCTATGTATTTTTGGCCAAAATTTATTAAATCTGGCCCACTGTGCGTTGTGACTAGGGCATGTAATCTCGATATTTCGAGATCTCGAAATACCGATATTTCGGTATTAAAATACCGAAATAACAGGTATTCAGATACCGAAATATCGATATTTCGATATTACAATACCGAAATTGGAATCTTGCAATTTATGAATTTATTTAATTAATATAACCCTTTCAAACTAACGTAACCCTTTCGAATTTAAACTTTGGGGTGTAACCAGGTCAAAAATCAATTTTTGAAACATTGGGGGTGTAACCAACTCAAAATTTATTCTCGGTTTGGTCACACCCCAAAATTCCTAAAATCGAATTTTGAGTTCGTTACACCCCCAAAGTTCCCACAACTGATTTTTTGACTAGGTCACACCCCCAAAGTTCCCAAAATCGAATTTTGACTTGGTTACACCCCCAACGTTCCCAAAATCAAATTTTGACTTGGTTACACCCCCAAAGTTCCCACAACTGATTTTCGATTAGGTTACACCCCCAAACTTCCCAAAATCGAATTCTGACTTGGTTACACCCCCAAAGTTCCCAAAATCGAATTTTGACTTGGTTACACCCCAAAAGTTCCCAAAATGGAATTTTGACTTGGTTATACCCGCAAAGTTCCCACAACTGAATTTTGACTCGGTCGCACCCCAAAAGTTCCCAAAATCGAATTTTGACTTGGTTATACCCGCAAAGTTCCCACAACTGAATTTTGACTCGGTCGCACCCCCAAGGTTGCCAAAATCGAATTTTTACTTGGTTACACCCCAAAGTTCCCAAAACTGAATTTTGACTTGGTCGCACCGCCAAGGTTGCTAAAATCGAATTTTGACTTGGTCAGACCCCTAAAGTTCCCACAACTGAATTTTGATTTGGTTACACCCCCAAAGTCCCCACAACTGAATTTTCGACTTAGTTAAACCCCCAAAGTTCCCAAACCTGAATTTTGACCTGGTTACACCCCCAAAGTTTCCACAACTTAATTTTGACTTACAATGGAGGCGCAAACCATGTTCAGCCCAGATTATTCTTTGACCATGTTAGTTTGGAAGAGCAAGTCTCTAGATACAACATTTGGTTCACCACTTGCGCAGATGCGCAAAATTCAGCACGTTATGGGCGCCATAAGTTCGCAAAAACGCATGATTTTTGATGCAAGGTCCAGCGCGAGTCACTCTCGACCACTTTTTGCAAACTTGTGGCGCCCATAACTTGCTGAATTTTGCGCATCTGCGCAAGTGGTGAACCAAATGTTGTTTCTAGAGACTTGCTCTGCCAAACTAACATGATCAAAAAATAATCTGGGCTGAACATGGTTTGCGCCTCCATTGTTAGTTACTGCCCCAAAGTAGAAGCTTTAGGTAGAGCTATGGCCAAGTCAAAATTCGATATTATTATTTCTAAATCTTGAGTTGGTTACACCCCCAATGTTTCAAAAATTGATTGATTTTTGACCTGCTTACACCCCAAAGTTTGAATTCCAAGGGGTTACGTTGATTCGAAAGTGCTATATTAATTAAATAAATTCATAAATTGCAAAATGCCAATTTCGGTATTGTAATATCGAAATATCGATATTTCGGTATTTGAATATTGAATACCGAAATACCGAAACCGATATCGAGATTACATGCCCTAGTTGTGACGATATTTGTGACGAGCGCATGACCATCGGGTTGCAGACTGATTCCATTTGTAAGCAACACGTTTGATCGAGTACCAGAAAATAGAGGTGCTAAACCCTGCGCGCTGGGTTTGCGCTGGGTCTGCGCCTGGCAATGTATTTTCCTCTTTTGTAAGAGAACACAACACAACGTATACGTTGTCAATGTTCCCGGCCACGTAGGAACACAGAATTATTTACTGCTGTCTACAAAAGCAGCCCATGTTAATTTTACCTTTTCGAAAAATCGCCAAAACTCCAAGACGGACAAAAATCGCGTGAGGTTTTAAACTTTTTTGTTTTCTCAGGCCCAAAGGCATCGATTGGCTTATCTCCCTATAAGCGATTTTTGTCCGTCTTCTCGCTAATTGAGTTTTTCAATACATTTCAAATTTCTGATTGTTTCGAATTTTTGAATTTAAAATTTTTTTTTCTATCAATGAATGATCGATTAATGAAATCCGTAAATGCAACCTACCCCTTTAAATCTATACTTTGGTTACGAAAGCATTTTCCATGCATTTGCAAATTTTCTTTTAACTTCTATTGGTATATCTTTGCGAAAAAAATTAATTTTCAAATTTTGATTTTTATGGCATGTTTTATTTTATACCATGCATCTATTATAAGATTGTGGAAAATATCTCAAATATGGTTGCGACGACGATCGTGTGGGTTCCGATGGAATGAGCCTGCACAGAGGGATAGGTCAGCCGCTGAACGCTCAGATCGAACACATGTTGTCTTCAGAGATTTCAAATTTCAAAGAACTTACACACCTCTAATTTTTTCAAAACTTCACCATTGTTTCAAAATTTTTTAAATTTCAAAACTTTTAAAAATTTTAAATTTTTTTGGAAATTTCAAAATTTTTTCGAACTTTCAAAATTTCTTCAAAATTTAAAAATGTTTTCAAAAGGTCTTCATAATTTCAAAATGGTTTCAAAATTTGAAAGAATTCGAAATCTCTGAAGACGACGACGCTTCTTTGTGGTCGACCTGATCGTTCAGCGGCCGACCTCTCCCTCTCTGGCAACCCGATGGTCGCCACAAATATCGTCACTACGTGACGAAAAGTGAATTTTACACGGAAATTCCTTCAGTTTGTTTAATAAGTCATGTATTGTGGTCATTTTGATTTAGGCGTCGACCCTTAACTCGTTGGACACCTAGGTATGTTCCCTTGTGAGATCAGTTTGGCATGTACTCTGAGATAATATGATTATACATACATAAGCGTACCCATAATGCCTTTATATATAAAGCAATATATTGTGTATCATAAGCTTGTGGTACCAATGAACATTTAACTTTTTAAGGGGTATTTAGAAACTGAAATTTTATTTTTGACTCACCTGAATAAAAAAAAATTCTTGAAAATAAATCGAACGCAGGATTAACCCAAGTATGTAAGTTGAACTACATAAATGGGCAACTTCAGTCCCGGCTTATATCTGAGTGGGCGAGATAGGTTGAGTCGCTAATGCAATGAAAGATAAGTTATCTAATTTTGTCAATAAATTTTATTCACAATGAAGGGAAGTAAGCTGATAAATCTGATAAAACTGGCATATCGAGCAAATGGAGTTTGGGAAAATTCCAGACGATCAAATTTAACGTTTATCCGATACAATACACAAGCCTTGGGACGGTGAAGGAATAAATGTATGTGTGTTTGTTGTGGGTGTATTTATCTACATCCTTATTTAACAGAGAGCTTATAAAATCAAAGGCACTCAATTGTGTATGTGTATGGAGACAAGGTATTAGACTTGACAGTTGCATTTTGTGTTTATTTAATCTCGATGATCGAATGGACGGCTTTGCAAAGCCTTTTGCCACCGCAAAATTATTTGTTTTAGATAAGAACTGTAATGCAAATACAAATTCGCTGGAATTGTGAAATACATAAAAGTGTAATATATATAGGTTGGTGACCTAACCTAACCATTAAATAAACAACATAAATAAAAGTATGTAACAAACATATTATGTGTGTATTAATATGAATATTTTTTTAAAATAAATATATGACATAACTCCTTAGTATGATCTCATGAATTTGCTACTGGGGAGTGTCAACTCAAGGTAATGTGATAGCAAATACTTTCTTGCCATGCTAATTTGACGGCCTAGTTACATATCGTTATCAAATTGTCATTGAACACCGTAGTAAAATTAGTAGAACTGAAATTAGTTGAAGGGGAATTAAATCTCAAAGAAATAAACTAAAATCATTCAACTTACAGAATTGCCCCCAAAATGTGAGACTAACACTGATTTCTTTAATTATTTCTGGATTAAGACCCGGCTCAAACTATTATTTATGCTCTACTGGTAGGAAGGTTTATCACAGAAAATTGTCCAGTAGTGGTTGTTACGCATTAGATGATGATAAATGAAGAAAGCAACGCATTCATTTTATATTTTATGTAGTTGCATTTATTAAAACATTTACCTAGCTCAAGTTCCAGAGGTAGAAACCGTGTGCTAGTAAGTACAAATCTCATCTGCCTCTCACACAGATTTTGGAGGCGTATTTATACCTAAAGGCTAGGATCATAAAACTAGGGTATTTCTAATGCCATAAATCAACCTAGACAGGTATAGACGCTATTGTAACAGTGGTTTTAGAGGGGTCACTCATAGACATTCCCTGTATACTCCGTCTGCTCTGTGTGGAGTTAAAACTCTGAATTGCACTTTCCGTCAAATGTTAATAAGCCTTCCATGTACACCCTTTAATACTAATGCGCTTGGAGTTCGTCATAAATGCTTACGTCGCATAATCTTAGCATTACGTAAACCAATTCCTCATCGTTTTATTTCCGATACATACAACGAACAACCCAACTTCTGGTCTAATCATCACTTACATTTGAGTATTTCAAGATAAGCCAAACAGATAAGCCCCGTCCGAGGCGACGGGGTGACAAATATGTAAAGACAAATATGTAACCAGCGTTTATGTATGTAACGACATTTATGCAAAATTTATGTTACCCGACAAATATGTATCCCGACGAATATGTAAGCGACCAATATGCAAACGACAAATATGTAACAAATAGGATGCATAGCAAAATGGTGCGAAATAATTGGAGGAATCGATGTATTCTGCACCAATAATTAGGATTATTAGGATTAGGATTAACTAACAGTGCTAGTAATCCTTGGCCTCTACCTCGAAATAGTGTCAAAATTTAGTCCCAATTTTAACCATTTTGACCGCACCATTGGTGCAATATTATATCAAATTTCTTATATTTCCCGTTTATTCTGTACCATTTGTGCAAAATTATATAAAAAATGATGCATCTATTTTATCCGCTTATTTTGCACCTTTGATGATATCCAACTAATTATTCCAGGGTGAGCTACTTCTAACGTTACTACGGTTTATTGATCAGGATATGGACTCCTATTGTCTTAATTCAAAATCTTGGGTTAAATATATTTAATTCCAGTAATTTTTTAATAATTATGTAATTAATTCTGCCCTGATGACGATCGCAAGCGAGATCGAACGGTTGACACCACTTAAAAACAATAAAGTTTTTCATTGTTATTCAAGTTGCACTAATGTATGTAAACAATTCTACTAGTAAATAAATTATCTAGGATAAGATAGTTTGGAGAGTCGTGATGCAAATGCTGTTCCGAAAAATGTATTTAATATTGATAGCTACACCCAGCCTCACTAAGATTTCTCTTTTTGGTAGCTTGTTTATTAATGCAAGATCATTTCTGACAAAGGTCTAGAGTCACATATTTATACACCCCATACTGGTGTTTTGGCAGTGGTTTTCTGCCGGATTGATACTAACGTGTTTCTGAATGGTACGAAAATGGTTTCTGTATGTATACTGAATAGATAATAATGCTAGTTTATACCATTCGGGTAGAGTCATATTTATGTATATATTCTCCGGCCAGCAATAATTGAATACCATTTTCCAATGCGTGTGCTTAATTTATGCGCTTTACTTATACAAGTCCCTACCAAGTAAAATATATGTACATATATACATAGACTGGAAAGTGGACGCAAAACTTATACAAAAATTGGCATGGAATAGAATGGTCGGCGTATCTAACTAGAATTTGTCCATTGTGTTAAAATATTTAAATATATAAGATGCTCCGAACCAATAACATTTATGATCATAATATTTATGATCCGATTGTGCTACATATACATAAATTTCCCATACGGTTAATACTTTATGGCATTGTGGATTTATGGCATTAGTAAATTACACTAAAACTATATACATAGGTACAGGCAATTATTATAATTTGTGCAATGTGATAAGTTTCATTTATGCAACTTCACATGAAGGAAATATTACGAAAGCATTAAATTTTACCAAATTTATTTTTCAATTTGAATAAAACTATGTATGTATAATGTTGTAGCTTAAATTGGATAACTTATGTTGAAAGTAACGTATTCGCGGAAAATTATTAAACTGATACATATTTACCAGTGGTTGTTTCTAATGCAATATTTATATTATACTGATGGCATTTGGTCTTTCTAACTTTTGAGCATAAACAGGAACTGTTAAAGTGATATTAAAACATAACAAAATTATCGTCACGAATTTTTTTGATGGTTGGCACCCTAGCGTCAGACATTTTTCTGGTTAAACCGATTATGATATCTTTCAGATTTGGCATGTCAGGAAAATCGTTTACCAGACCAACACCCTTTTTTCCAATTAGGTCAGCAAATTTTGTCTTGAGCACTGTCTTGGGAATCAGGTGGAACATTTCAAAAATAATAAGTCCCACAGAAAACCAATCAGCATTCGGCCCGTACCGGAGGTTCCCTAGTTCATCGAATTCTTTAGCTTCTCTAGCTCGGTACTGTTCCGACCATACTTGAGCCGTTTGTGTCATGGTGGCATCACCCGGGACTTTACGGCATTGCCCAAAGTCTCCAAGTTTTATAGGGCATTGGAACAAATCGTCAGAGTCCTTGACGTGGGAAAAATAAATATTTTCAGGTTTCAAATCTCGGTGCAGAATATTCTTGGAATGGAGAAATTTTAGGCCAGAAATCATCCCAAGTGTAATTTGTTTGCGCAGCGTAAAGTCTATATCGACATTGCTAACTTGTTCAGGTTTTTTATCGTTTTTGAGTAACCATGTCTGCAGGGTTGGACCACATAGTTCCATTTTAATTATGATGGCGGGATAACCACGGGTTAAGTTATCTGTCAGGAATAAACAACAAAGTCGTTTCCCATGTTCTAAAATAGTATTGGTAGCCTGCATGTATTCGTCGATGATGTTTGGACCCTCAGGTTCAAGAAGCTTATGGGCCAAAATAGTAACCACATTTTCGTGAGGGGTTGAATTGGTAGCGTCCATTATTTGGCATTCTCGCTCCACTGTATTCTTAAACTCAGTCACATCTCTTGTGTGCCCAACTACTATCTTAAGTGCTGCATCCACCGGGTCGGAGTTCAGCCCAGTAGAAGATTCTCTGATTTGGAAGACGACGCCAAAACAGCCGACGCCAAGAAATTTTGTGACAGTGTAGTTCCAATTGCTAAAATTAGAGAAATAAATGGATTCATGTAGGCATTATAATTAAAAATTGTGTTTCACTCGACATCCAACAAGGTAAAATCAACTTGCTATTTTGACATGTAAATCTGTGAAACATTTCCAGGACATAGTTTTCCGATATATGTCTCGAGTTTGGTAAAATTCGTCGCAAAATAGAATCGAACGAAGAAGTCGTTAAGCTTAGGATTAGGAAGAAATTTGTATCAGTAGAAATAATTTACCATCTTTTAAGGACGAAGTAGTTGAGCTTGATGAAGGCGCCGCTGTTGGGTTTATCGTAATATTTTCCAAGTTCTCCGCATGTGTGTTATCTGCAGACGAAGAAATTTCAATAATGGTTTTATAGCAGAGTATAAAATTACATATGTCACTGTACAATGTGACTTTTTGCATTTCTAAGAAACCTCATGTTTCGTCTAGGCGGAATTTTTAAATACACTTCAGCTAAAGCCATGATTTTTTTGAAACTTATTATTACAATTTCAACCCGGTCTCGAAAGGTAAAACATCCACAGTTGTAGGGATGTTTAGATTCTTAAGTTATTACGCAGACCAAAGTCTTGTTAACTCAATGGATATTTATAACTTATTTATAAATTTTTGGATACCTGCTTGGTATCGCTGAAATATTTCGAACGCTCTTTTGTTGCGGTTAACATTGTTCTCTAGGGCATACATAATTGCTGGAAGGTCGTCTTGAGTGAGTCCTTGAATTACGAAGAAATTCAAGCAACCTGACTGCCTTATTTCGTTTTCCGTTAGTCTTGCCCTGAAACAATAACACCTGAATTAAGAACTTATCAATAGATAACTAATAAATACTGCAATTTGTAAATAATTTACATATATTAATTTACCAACAACTCCACAGTTTCATCATTGATAATGTTCCTCAATTCGAGATAGCTTAACAGAGACTCGCTCACATCCAATGAACTTCTGAGTATCTCGTAATTGTCGTTAATAATAGTTCGAAGGGTATCATTAGATGTTGCGGATGCCATAGTTCAACTGTGAACATTATTTAATTAGATTAGAGGTCTTATCCAGGAGAAAATTATGCTATTAAAGTTTTTATTATCCGACAATATGATTATCGCAATAAGGCAAAGCCCTAAGTAATTGTGTATCGGAGGCTGGCTTTCCGTGCCTATAATCATATAACCTTTTGTAAATATATTTTTTTAATTGTATTTCGCCTTACCTAAATAAATTCTTATTAAACGTAAATTCTAGCTAAATCTCTGAAAATGTATCCAACGCAAAACTAAGGCGAGTTAAGTTGAGCTACGTGAATGCATAACGTCAATTCTGGTTTATTAGCTCACCCTGCGTAGCATGAGAGCTATTGAATTCCTCTTGTCCGTCTGTCTGTCCGTCGGTCCGTCTGTCTGTCCGTCTGTCGGTCTGTCTGTCCGTCTGTTAACGAGTTTTTTGCATCAATTGATGCTAATTAAAAATCCCCTTGACCATTATTGGATAAGTTCGGCGCACCATTGGTATCGAATAATCCGTGGCGTAAATGGTGCGAATTAATTGTGCAAGTACATCGAGATAGGACTGTAATTATGGAATAAGTTGCACCATTAGTACCGAGCAATTGGTTATTAAAAATGATGCGTAACAATTGGGCCCTTTATTTACGATGGGGTGACAAATGTGCAAAGACAAATGTGAAAACGACAAATGTGCAAAGACAAATGTGAAAACGACAAATGTGCAAAGACATTTGTGCAAACGATAAATGTGCAACCTGACAAATGTGCAGCCCGATAAATGTGCAGGAATTTTTCTAAAAAATAGTACAATATATCTTAATATGATTTTAGCAGTCAAATCAAATTATATCTCCTCAAAAAATAAGAATTCTGAAAAATTAATCTTGCTGCGACATCCCTTATGATGTCTGTTGAAGCTGCTGATCTTATACACATAATGAGCAGTATTAATTTATCATTAACTTAATATTTTACTAAATAATATTTCTATGGTGCATAAATTCCCCCGTACATCTTCGTGAATTCCTGAAATAATTCGGGATTTCCTTATTTGCTGTCATTTTAAATTATGTCCCCGAAGCGTGTCCATAACTAAATGTTAAGCTTAAATCATGTCAAGATATGTTGTACTATTTGTTAGAAAAATTCCTGCACATTTATCGTTTGCACATTTATCGGGCTGCACATTTGTCAGGTTGCACATTTATCGTTTGCACAAATGTCTTTGCACATTTGTCTTTGCACATTTGTCGGGCCACCTTTATTTACCCCCAAAAATCAATGAGGCGTAACAATTGGACCATCTATTTCCCCCAAAAAATCTGTTCTATTTGTTCGATTTTTCTGCACCATTGACGCTAAAATATATAAATTTTATAATAAATAATTGGGAAACGGATGCCATACGCACCAATGATGCAGAATGTCGGGATAAGGAACCATACAATTTTTTCAAAGTTTTCAAAATTGTGTATCCCGTTGGTCGCTAATGTTCCACTAGTGGTGCAAACTAATTTTGTTTTTTTTTATTTTTCCGTTTATATTACACCATTGGTGCAATAATCTATGAGAGTTGTGATCTATTTTGTCGCCTTATTCCGTACCTTTGGTGGAAAGTTATATGGAAATCATTATGACAGGGTGAGCTACTTCTAACGTTACTACGGTTTAGGCGCACCATTGGTATTGAACAAACCGAATCGAATTGTTTAATAAATTAGTAGCACCGTTGATATCTAACAATCGGTAACACAAAATGATGCGAAATAATTGGGAGAAGGGATACAAAACGCAATAATTTTTCTGCACCAGCATTGGTGCAACATTGCATAAAAATTATTGATCCACTTTGTTGGATTTTTCTGCACCATTGGTGCATAATTGCAAAAAATTATGTATCTATTTTGTTGCATTTTTCTGCACCTTTGGGGCAAGTTATAACCAAATCATTATTACAGGGTGAGCTACTTCTAACGTTACTACGGTTTATTCTTAGATGAGGCTATAGTTACTGCAGGAAAAAAATCATCTAAGTAAGCAATCACTACGGTTTTGAAAAGCTTAATTTTTTCAGATCTAGGTCAATCTCCATCCGATTTTAATGAAATTAGTATCCAGAGTCAATTATGGCAAATTAGAATTGAACTGTCGACCAGGAGGCTGGAATAGTGCCCTGCTCCTGAGATATGCAGGAAAAACACCATCGAAAATGTGTTTTTTTGAGATTAAAAAAAAAATGAAGGCCTTCATGCTAAATGTAAATGAGCAAAAAGTTGATACATATTTTTTATAAAAATACAAAATTAAAATCCCGAAAATCAGTTTAAAACTGAGAAAGTTTTGATGGTGGTCAAAATATTTCCTCTCCCACCACCACCAAGTTTAGTTGCTAAGGCCCACCACTCAGCAAGGTGATAATTACGAATAATAACTAGCTTACACTACTTAATAAATTACTTTCAATTGCGAATAAAAACTATTAAATAAAAGAAACCCAAAAAAGGAAAGCTTAGATGAGACTTAAGAAGTGCGATAAAAAGTATTTAATAAATTTATTCTCCAGTGAAGGATATGGAATTTTAATATTTCCAGCATCAGCGCCCCATTTCATTCACTATCATATAAATAGATGCAAATATACAATAACTATCAAATTTCAAATATGATGTAGCGAAACATATTAAAATCATTTGCTAATTGTTCTTGTCACTAAAAAATTATGAATGCTTGCAATTATACTTAAAATTGATACATAATATACAGGTCTTACCAAATAGTCGATTCCATTCCCCAGTAATATGCACACGTGAACATGTTGCTTATGTAATTTAGTATAAAATAAAATGGGGCGCTGATACTGGAAATATTAAAATTCTATTCCCTTCACTGGAGAATAAATTTATTAAATACTTTTTATCGCACTTCTTAAGTCTCATCTAAGCTTTCCTTTTTTGGGTTTCTTTTTATGCCAATGAGATTAAATGATGAGATTAAATAAGATGAGATTAAATTATTCACCAATTCAGTTGCTGATAAGTTATCTTATTTTTTACATACCATTTATTCACAATGAGGAGATTTAGGTGGTTCAATGTGATAAGGTATCACATTGAACCACCTAAATCATTTGTTATCACTGATAACAAATGGCATAGGAGGCTGCAAAAGGAGCTGTAAACTTCAGACGAGCAAATTTATTATTAAACTGATATAAAACAAGGGATAGGATGGAGAAATAATACATTTTTTGGTTATTCATTTATGTGTGTATAAATTGTACTCGCAGATAAATAAATACAGAAGTAGGTATGTACATACATATATACCTGTATGCATTCATGTAATAAGGAGCTTGTATGTAAAATGAAAAACACCCAGTTGTGTAATTGTATGTCTATGGAGCCAGGATGTTGTGCTTGTCAGTTGCATATTGCAATCTCGATTATCGAGTAAACGGCTTTGCAAAGTTTTCTGTCACGCCACAGTTGTTTATTAGATAATAACTGTAAAACAAATATAAATTCTGCACCGGGAGGACGCTGGTGGATGGGTCACGATTTGGGGAGCGATTGATTTAAGGGTAAGGGCAATATTCTGGGTATGGAAAGCACAATGGCTCCTTAGTAATCTAGTCCTGATACTTCTAGTGAAGACGGTAGTAGAAATAGGAGTCAAATTCAGGTCAGGTAAAATCAAGTAAGGTCAGGTCAGGTCAGGTCAGGTCAAATTAAACTTGCCAGCAAGGTAATACACGATTTCGTCCGTCGAGGCTGACGAAAATTTACATTTTCCAAAGAAAATTCCGTCTTCTGGATTGCCCAAGCAATATTCCCATCTTAAGTCCGGTCAAAAACCATCGGGGTATATCAATATTTGATGCGTGCCACATTTCAAAGCAGTACGATAGCGTTACTTAGCTTTTTCATGCAACTCTCAACACGTAGGCAAAAGTGGGGAAAAAGACGCTTCCATAGCTCGTGGGCCCCTTGTACCCCCGAGTTAATGAATTTATTTCAAAGCCTGAGGACCCTCGAACATCATAAAGTCGATAGAAACTTCAAATATTGCTGAGCAAAATAAATACAGATTTTTCATTTTAAAATATCGACGTTCGCGTATCGTTTTGCACCACCTGTTTTTCTAGTTTTTCTAGCTAAGTAATTTTCCCGATGAAGCTGGTACATCTACTCTAATAAAGTGTTAGTATGATCCCTGGCTCCGTGATGCGATGAAAGTTGCCCCATAGAGGAGACAAAGAAGGAAGCGGAGCAACCACTGCATGCATAAATTTTCATACTGCATAAGTCTCACTTCGCCTGCACGTGACTTTCACGTACGCTTGCCATCAATCTCAAATTAAATGTCTTGGTATATAAACACAGTGTGCAAGTAAATTGAGTGGTTAGAGCAGTATACATCACTCATCATCATGATAAGTCATCTTGATAAACACTATTAATTGATTGTTTTAGTTTGAGAAACTCCACCCACAGCGAGTGGCATATCAATTCGAATTTATTTTTGACGCTGAATCCAACGTCAATGGTTTTGACCTGCGAGGCCCCGTGACCTTGCCGTGACCGTGGTGTCCAAATATGGCTTATTCGTGATGTCGCATATCAATTCGAATGTATTTTTGACGCTGAATCCGAATCCGTCAAAAACTTGGGGTTAATTGTAGAAGTTAATGGGGTTTATGGAACTTAACGGGAGCGTGAAGCGTGGGAATTTAAGTAGTTAGCTATGGAATCACTCCCACACGACGGGAATTTAAGTAATTAGCTATTCAACTACTCCCACAGGGGGAAATCAAATTGTACTGTGACCAGATTAATTAAAATGCAGTATGACCTGGGCAAACCCTCACTCTGATGTATGTATGTAATATGACAAAGTCTCCACTGGGAATTATTTAAAGTATAGTATGACGGATTTTTCGCTTTGGGCACCCCCCCCCCCCACTGGAACTCTAGAACCCGGCCTTGGCCGGGCTATACGCTAGTATGTCATATTTATGTTATAAGTAAGTAATGCTATTTTACAGATTTGTGTGAAGTTTCAAGTCATTCGGTACACTGGTGTCAAAATTAAGCGAAAAAAACATATCGCCTATCGTTTTGCTCCTGACTGTATGTAGCATCGCTCGCACTCCATATGTATACCTTACTTTCTATGCCTGATTTCTGGATACAATTATGGTTGATGATGCATCCGATATATATTATCGCAAGTATTTTTGTGTGCATACTGTTGTCTTAATTATACATATATTGGCACCGCTAGATTGAAGATTAATTCGTCCTTTGGGTATGCCCAAGGAATTCCTGAGACACTAAACTAACCACTTTGGACGGGAGGCAATACATAATTTTTGGGTCATTTAATTATTTTTTCGCTAAATTATAAGTCATCTGTTTGTATTGTGTTGTGTTGTATTGTATTGTGTATTTATTTGCAAAACTTTATCATAATTGATTTCTTAAATTCGAAGAGCGGACCATTGATAAATGGAATACATGCATGATACAGAACCGCAAGAAATTTTATCAGTAATTCATTCCGTCGAGTAGAGTGGAATCTACAACCGAACCCGGAAGCTACATAAATAATTGCAGATTTGCTTGCAAGACCCAAACAATCATTATTGTCTCACGACATTTAATGCATATTTATATACTTTCATTGGTGGCTAAATTAAACAATGTCACATTATTTGTTTCGACAGCCAGGCTAATTTAGTTGAGTGAATTATTTGATCGCAGTTGTGTCCTGCACTGAATGCTGGCAGACATAAAATGCGACACTATTTTCGTTTTGTGTTGGCTTTGTTTTTCTACACGATGCCCGCAGGATCAAGTTGGATAGAACTCATCGATAGGAAAAATGCCCCCAGATCGACAGGGTTTCAGGTGTTAGACACGTAAGTACGACATTAACCAGAATTTGCACTCAAAACAATGGCCCATATTTGGGATTACGATGTGTTATATACTCTATTGTAATAAATTTGCCAATCCACGTTAGCGGATTACTGGAGGATTTATGTACGTCGTATATTGTGTTTATTTTGGGGCATGTACGAATCTCGGATTTTAATTGATATGAATTACATAATCAGATAATTTAATCTCATTACTTATAGCGACCAGTATCCTGCACTGCATAGAAATCGGGATAGTAACGTTTCCAACATTGAACAAGTCTCCAACCCGAACGTCGATCGACAACTTGTACCCGCGCAGTCGCAAGAACTCGATAATCTCAACAGGTTTGGAGACGGTAGGTACATATGTACATGCATAGAAAGCATCTAATTTGAGTATTTAGCGTCATTTTAAGGTTTGTATTTATTAGAAAGTTCGTACAGGCTTGATTTATCACTTACATATGATGTATGGCACTTAGCTAACTAACCACATTACCCAACAATTTACATACAAGTCTACCTCGAGTTTTTTTTAACTTCTCAACAAGAGTTAATCCACTATGTACACAGGGTTCGCTACCCTGGGTTTTTGTGGGTTGGGGTTTTTGGGGTTTTTGTGGGTTTTTGGTGTAAATTGAAATAAGATTCTTTAAACTACAAGTTAAATTAATGAGAATTAAATTTTCGGATTCAGCATGAAAGTTTGAGCATTTTACGTGCGACTTGAATTTCCAAGTATCATTACATACGTATTTCTGGTTTATTATTCGGTTTCCATGTTAAACATTAAATTTTGACTTGATCCAAGTCAATGAAAAAATTTCATTCTGAGTACGAATATTGAATTAGTTTTAGTCTAATATATAACTTTAGCAATTTGGTCTTAACCCCGCCCCATAATCTACAAAAACCCACAAATACCCCGAAAACCCCTGAAAAACCCCGGGGTTTTCCGAACCCTGTATGTACCAATCGATATTAAGATTTTGATACATTTACTTACTGCCCGTAAGTAAATGGGGAAATTTTCAATTCACCCCAATATTAAAATTCAGGAGGTCAACTTGTAGCGCTTCTAAATATAAGTCTGCTGGTCACGACTTATAATTTAACTTAAAATTATAAATCATGTGCGGAAGCCTTAAATTATTCTTTGGTTTTGCATACATTTATAGGTAATATAGTGTATTTTCTCCATATTATTGTGCAATGTGAAACCTGTACATTTACGCACTTGACCCCCCATCTAAAAAATGTCCAAAAAAATTTAAGAAAACTCGAGGTATCAATGAGCTCTGATTTTTTAGAGGATGAAGTATCCTGCCGGTCGGAGGAGCATGCAAAAATTGTGTTCGTGTTTGACGGCAAATACCCTTTCTACTCAAGAAATCCCGGTAATCTTCCAAACCTGTACAACTGTCTGTGTGAATAACAGGGTAAAGGTTTAAAATTTGCCTTTTTCCGTGTTCAAATTTACAGATCGTGTCCATTCCGAATTCTACATACAATTGGCTCAAAACAACAGACAAACTTTACTAATCGATAATATGTACGACCTCTTCCATCATATTTCAATCGGTGTCACGTCTTACTCGGACTGGAAGACAACCAATGAAGATCTACTTTACTGCTACAAGTTCAAACATCAAAAATTAAACCCTGGCCTCCTATATACGGAAATTTATCCCGACAATGCTTTCCCACAGAACGGAACGGAGGGTTGGGATTCCGTATTGAATGCCGTGCTGTACACCGCAATGGATGGAAATATGGATTGGGGAAACGGTAAAAAAGTTGTCATCTTCGTGTCGAATAAAAAATGGAAATGGGAGGGCGATTCGAATAATCACAAAGGCCCGGAGTATCAGCTCCCAAGCATAACCAAGGATATGATGGGGGATAACAGAAACAAATTTTGCGATTACAAACCAATCTCAAAAAAACTGTTTTTCGACTTGACCGAGAATTATAAAATCATTGGATTGCTGACCCCGAAGGGTTCTGACCCCGCTAACAATTTTTTTAACAATCCGCCCAAAAATAAAGAAAATTACAAGATGCTGCGGATCAGTGGAACAGATACTGATGGCGCGAAGAGTATTGAAACTGTCTTATTTCCAGCTTTGCGGAAATATCTTTGCACGTGCAAAGTGGTGTATGAATTTGCCCTGGTGGTCGATGCAACCATGACCTTTATAGGTGAGTTTAATTTCTTCCTGATTTTAGCACTCAGGAGGAGTTGAAAAACAGGGCTTGAACACCACGCATATTTTTGTGTGCTGGTGGGTTACAGGTTTTTATTTTTTAATCTTGAAGATTGGTAGGGTAATAATAAATAAATAACGTGCAAAAAAGTTACCTCCAACCACTTCTGGGGCTCTAAAACCCAAGATTTCGATATCTGGATTTCTGATGGCTTCAGGTGGTACATAGTATTTGCAAAACGATTAAAAATCTCTGACTACATCCAATTTGGGACTAATATATTATTTGAGGTACACGGGTAGCAAATAGGGGGCGCCAGGCAGACATTGGTTTAGTCAGAATCGAGTGCAAAGATGTCATTGGCCCACCAGCCCACAAAATCAAAATCGTGGTCCTTTTCACGATTTTAAATTAAACGTCTTAATAGCAATGAATCATAATTTCTCGTGAAAAGTCCATATTTCCATAAAAGTTGATAAAAGTTTATATTAGCTCACGGAGGACCCACGATTTAACTCAAGCTTTGTGCTGTACGGCGCAACGAGGAAAGTGTTTGGCAAGTTTCGCTCAGAGCGAAAGCCAGAGCAGGAGCTGACGACCAGTAGATTTAACTATTTGAGAAATTTAATTTTCAGAATTTGAGAAAAAGTCGTTTTTCCAGCCAAAATCATATCCCGAGTGCATAATAAGGTAGCTCAAATTATATCTTGCACATTGTACATATATCCAAATTTTAATTTAATTTACATACAGTTTCGCCTCGTATAATTGACCAATCAATGGGTCCTCCTTTACCCGCTTGTTGCGTGTTATAGAACCTATTATTCGAAAGCTATCACGGGAAAACAAGAATTCCAAATTCCATCTAACAACATTCGCGGATTACCCCACCGAAGAGAATGGCAATTTGAATGGTTCCTTCTGTTACAAATACGTCATGACAACATCAAATGTTGACGATTTCTTGGATGCGATAAAATCCATCGATAGCACGTTCGGAGGACATGACGAGGACGAATCCAGCCTCACTGCCCTTCTCTACACGGCTACAGAACCTAAAATAAATTGGACCCTAGGGTCTACTCCTCATACAAATAAGGTTGTTAAATTAATTGCCATAGCGACCGATGCATACTACAAATCACACGACAACATTCCCGAAAACGCGGGTCCCGAATATAACTATCCAGTTCCAAACGGGTATGCTGATTGCACGTACGGCCCACCTAAATTGAGAACACTTTTTGATCTCTTGCGCAAGGAAAAAATTTATCTTATCCGTTTTATTTACGGATATTACACGTCGAACGACTGGGACAAAGAGTTTGACAAAAATACATATCATGGTTGGTCGAGCAATAGCGAAGGTGACGAAAAAGCCATAAAAACCTTGGGGGAGGGTATTGATGCACACGCGCATTTTATATGCAATCCTTAGCTATCCGTTACCAAAGTTTCCAACAGTTGACAGTTTCCAAAAGATTGTTAGTAAAACCACGATTAACTTATGTATGACTCATTTTGAAAGAAAACAAAATATTACAAATTAATAAAAGTTAAAACTTACTGTTTCTTGAAGCGCTGAAACCATAGCTCACAATGGAGGCGCAAACCATGTTCAGCCCAGATAATTTTTTGACTTTATTACTTTGAAAGAGCAAGTCTTTACAAACAACATTTGGTTCGGCACTTGGGCAGATGCGCAAATTTCAGCACGTTATGGGCGCCGCAAGTTCGCCAAAACGCACGAAGTTGAGCTCGCGCTGGGCATTGCCCGAAAAATCGTGCGTTTTTGCGAACTTGCGGCGCCCAAAACGTGCTGAAATTTGCGCGTCTGCCCAAGTGCCGAACCAAATGTTGTTTGTAAAGACTTGCTCTTTCAAACTAATAAGGTCAAAAAATTATCTGGGCTGAACATGGTTTGCGCCTCCATTGTCAGTCTGAAATATTATTTATCATTTAGTACATAAATATACTCGTATGTAATTTTCATACTGTAAATGCATCTGATTTAGGCAGCCATTCATAATTAATTCTTTCTTTGCGTTCCAAATTGTCAAAATTATACCATAACTAGTCTATAAGCCCAGCCTCATGACGGGCCACACCAATTATTTTTCACGATCATTGCAAGAATATTAAATTAAGCCAGTACATAATAGACGCGATGCACTAAGCTCGATGAAAATTATGATTCTAAGTAAACAAACAGCAAATGTAGTTAAGTCAGGAAGTCACTAAAGTCTTTTTATATTTATTATCGAAATCCAAAATCATCCAGTAATTTTTATTCTGCTAAGGATTTTTAAGGTTCCTATAAGGATTTCTTTAATGTTGCCGCGGAAAATTTTTATGTTGCCAAGGAAATTTTTTTATACTGCTAAGGAAATTTCTTTATTTGCTAAATAATTTTTTGACCTTTGTAAGGAATTTTTTTTATGTTGCCAAGGAATATTTTTGACGTTGCTAACGAAATTGTTTTGTGTTTCTAAGCAAAATTATTTATGTTGCCAAGACATCAGAATTTTGTCATGTTGCTAAGGAATTTGTTGTGTTGCTAAGGAATTTTTTTCACGTTGCTAAGTTAAATTTTTGACGTATCACAGGAATTTTTTAAATTTTGTCTACGCATTTTTTTGACGTTGGTAAAGAATTTTTAACGTTGCTAAGAATTTTATTAACGTTGCTAAGGAATTTTTTTACTTTGCTAGGGACATTTTGTTATGTTGCTAAGGAAATTATTTTATGTTGCTAAAGAATTTTTCGACGTTGTGAAGGATTTTTTTATGTTGCTAAGGAATTTTTTTGACATTGCTATGGCAATTTTTTTATGTTGCTAAGGAATTGCTGTAACTTTACGAAGGAAATTTTGTATTACGAGGGAATTTTCAAGGCGTTGATGATGGATTTTTTGTACGTTTCGGAGGTAATGTTTTTACATTGCGAAGGGATTTGTTTGAACGTAAGTTGTAACATCGATTGTAGCATCGGTTGTAACATTGGTTGTAACATCGATTGTAGCATCGGTTGTAACATTGGTTGTAACATCGATTGTAACATCGGTTGTAACATCGATCGTAACATCGATTGTAACATCGATTGTAACATAGGTTGTAACATCGGTTGTAACATAGGTTGTAACATCGATTGTAACATCGGTTGTAACATAGGTTGTAACATCGATTGTAACATCGGTTGTAAGCTACATAAATTGTACCCGAAAATATATGCGTGCTGTGATTGGCGGATTCAGAAAGCTGGCAACCAATCAGAATGCTGGGATGTCACGGAACATTTCACGGGACGGACTTTTCGAAATTATAATATAGACTAGCCTATAAGCCCGTCCTAACGACGGGCAAAACTTCAAATTATTCATGAACATATAAAAATCATTCACAAAAGTAAGCCAGTACGTCTGTATGTAACTCGCAACGTGCTAATCTTCACGAAAATAATAATTTCAGAGTAAGCCATAGGTAAACATAATTCCGTGAGTGATGAAGTAGTGAGGGTTCTCCTGACATGAGTGATGAAGTAGTGAGGGTTCTCCTGACATGAGTGATGAAGTAGACACAATATTTGTCATGTTTCGCAAATTGATTTAGGAATTTTTATAAGGAGTTAAGAAATTAATTTTTATATTTTGCTAAGGTGTCTTCTTTATGTTGTGAAGTAAATTTTTTTACGTTGCCAAGGAAATTTTTAACGTTGCTAAGGAATTTGTATTATGTTTCTAAGGCCATTTTTTAACATTGCTAAGGAATTTGTTTTATGTTGCTAAGGAAATTTTTAAACGTTGCTAAGGAAATTCTTTACCGTTGCTAAGGAATTTTTCTTATTTTGCCAGGGAAATTTTTTTATGTTGCTAAGGAAATTTTTACACGTTGCTATGGAAATGTTTTAACGTTGCTAAGGAATTTTTTTTATGTTGCTGATGAAATTTTTTGATGTTGCTAAGGAAATTTTTTTATATTCATAATCATATTCATAATCATATTCATAATCATATTCATAATCATATTCATAATCATATCCATAATCATATTCATAATCATATCCATAATCATATTCATAATCATATTCATAATCATATTCATAATCATAATCATAATCATAATTCGTATCTGTTCGCTGATTGGTGGAGCCGAAATTGCAATAGCCAATCAGAATGCTGGGATGTCACGGAAAATTTCACGGGACGCACTTTTCGAAATTATAATATAGATTTATTCCCTAAATATTTACAAGCGGGCTATTTATCGTACATATGCACAAGGGAATTAAATTCTACCAAATATGGCGACGTTGGGTATAAGGGATTATTTTATTTTGCAAATGCTGTGAAACAAATCCGAAATGTATTTATTCATTTTATCGCACCAGGGTTGATGATATCCACTCTGTAAATTGGGATAGCAACTGCACCCGGAAGCAGCCTAAATCATTGTAGATTTGATAACCACGAAACAGTTATTATTGTCTCGCAATATTTAATGCATTCATAACTATATAAATTAACAAACAATAGCACATTATTTGTTTCATAGACAGCAATACTAATTCTGTAGGCCGAATTACTTCATCACACCTGTGTCCCGACATAAAATGCGACATTATTTCAGTTAAAGGAGACCTGCGTAAAGAAGTTGCGGATTGCCAGGCGGATGAAGATTGTCAACTGTCCATCGAGGGATTGACTTATTGTAATAGAGAATATGGCATTTGCTCATGCGAGAAAATTAGAAAATTAGAAAATTGAATTAGAGAAAATCCATTTGGGAATAAAACCATTTGTAGCGGTGCGATTGTAAATCGGTTGCAAATTTGGTTGTAAACTAGCGCCATATTTTTATATCAACTTGTGAATTGAACAGCTTTCCTGCGCCCTTTTACATCCCCGGATTTGAAAGATTTTATCCTCTTTTATGTTTTTCAAAATTACTTACATCAGATCGCAGCGATATACTTTTATGTACAGATTTAATTTATATAAATATGTACATAAACATCTATATTATAATTTCCAAAAGTCCGTCCCGTGGAATTTTCCGTGACATCCCTGCATTCTGATTGGTTCCCGGGTTTCGGGGTGAACCAATCAGGGAAGAGATAAGATTTCGGTTATGATTTCGGTTATGATTTCAGTTATGATTTGGGTTATGATTTGGGTTATGATTTGGGTTATGATTTAGGTTATGATTTCGGTTATGATTTGGGTTATGATTTGGGTTATGATTTAGGTTATGATTTCGGTTATGATTTCAGTTATGATTTGGGTTATGATTTGGGTTATGATTTGGGTTATGATTTAGGTTATGATTTCGGTTATGATTTGGGTTATGATTTGGGTTATGATTTAGGTTATGATTTCGGTTATGATTTCAGTTATGATTTGGGTTATGATTTGGGTTATGATTTGGGTTATGATTTAGGTTATGATTTCGGTTATGATTTGGGTTATGATTTCGGTTATGATTTAGGTTATGATTTCGGTTATGATTTCAGTTATGATTTGGGTTATGATTTCGGTGATTTCTGTTATGATTTAGGTTATGATTTGGGTTATGATTTCGGTTATGATTTCGGTTATGATTTCGGTTAGGGAATGTAATATCGATATCGTTTTCGATATTTCGATATTTCGATATTTGAATATCGAAATATCGAAATTTCGATATTGAAATATCGAAATTGGAATCTTGCAATTTATGAATTACTTTAATTAATTTAATCTTTTCTTGTGTGCCAAGAATTCAATTTTGGGAACTTTGAGGGTGTAACTTAACCAAATATTAATTTCAGAAACTTTTAGAACCGGGTGTAACCAGGTGAAAAATCACTTTGGGAATTTTGGGGGTTAATCAATTCAAAATTTAATTTTCGAA